CCTGCCACAATGCCTGGCTACCTTTTGTTGTAGCCGTCATTGTTGTTTGGTGGGCCCAGCTCAGGTGTATGTGGCTGGTGCTTGAGCTTCAGGTGCTGAGCTGCCATATCTTTCTTTACTCTCATTTCAAGCTAGTGGTCAAATCTCATCCTCCCTCAGTCTGAGAAGTTGGGGCAGGCATAGAGTGGATGAGTAGGAGGTTGGGAGGTCACTTTGTCCTCACCTTTGTAAAGCCCTAAGGTCGCTGAAGGGATGTGTTTCCACTGGGGGTGAGGGGAGGGAGAGGACTGACTTGAGGAGGTGAGGACGCTGGAGCCCAAGAGCCCAAAAAGGGCACTGAGTTCCATGAGCAGCAGAGAGACCTGAGTCCTGCCTAGAGACAAGGTCTCCGGGAGCACTGCAGGCTGGACTCGAGGCCTAGGGGCTCCTAGCATCACCCAAGATGTCCAGGCCCCCCACACAGTGCAGGGGTCTTTCCTGATACCCTTTCCTGACACCGCACCGCTGGCACCACTATCATCAGGGACCTGCCAGTGCTTTGACCTGGGACCGTGAAGACCCAGATGGATGGAGGGAGGTGGTGGTGGGGAGAATCTCGAATGACTAAGATAGAATTTCCCACTGGAAGCAGGAGGGGTTGGAGTCTAAAATATGCTGATTTAGAAAAATAGAATGACACTCCACACACTCGAGTGTGGAACTAGTATTCAAAACAGTGACATCTGTTTTAGCTTTAAATGATGATTTTTAATCTCCGGTGGAGGCCTGGGGCGGGAGTGGTACTTAAGGGAACAGGCCCTTTCTGTGCAGCTCAGATAGTGGGGAGATGATGAGCCGGAACTGCTGGTAGGTTCTGCGGCTGCACTAGGTTGGAAGTATATACTCCATCTCACCGGGGTTGAGGTACAGATAAATCAGAAGGCAGCTCCAGAAGCCAAGGGTGAAAACGGTGCCCAGACCTGGTGCGAGAGCTTTTTGCTAGGTGGGGAGAAAGGTAGGGTTCTAAGGAAGGTCAGGCCAGCAGGTGCACCCTCCCCACCACTGGAGCTTCTGGGCGGCAGCCTCAAGGTTGGCTGACCCAAATCACCCTTCCTGGTGCCACATCCTCTACAATGGAGTGGTTGTGTGGGTGGCAGCATCTGCTAAAAATCCCTACTCCCTGCACAACCACAGGAGGGCTTTGATGCCAGTACAGCTGGAGCACACACCCCACTGAGATAAGGCACATCTTGCATGGATCTACCTACCCCTGATTGTAGTTGTTCTTTAGGGCACACAACAAACATTTCTCCTGCAGAGGACAGAAAGGGCACAAGAAAGATCATTTTTCTTTGGCCCAAGATGGCCAACCTGCTGGGTGCCTCATCAGACCTTGCTATGGGAAGGACAGAATAATATAGTGGAACATGGGAGCACACACATCAGGGTCCAGTCCTGCATGGCTGTGGCTTAGACTGAGGCCTGCAAGGCAACTTGTGTAGAGGAGGGCTCTAGACTTGGGGCAGGGGAGGGGGCGGCACCCACAGACATTAGAGGGGTGGTGCTAGTGCCTTCTCAGTGAGCGCTCTGGGGGAGTCAGCTCTGGCCAGGGACGCACTTACACAGCAGGTCCTACATGGATGACGGGGATCCAGTGGTTCTTTCTTTGGTTTTTGTGATGCCAATGTTTTCTTGGGAAGGGCAGAGGGTGCTCCATCAGCTCCATCCATTTTCTTGAGCCTGAGCTGTGGGTCTGTGTTACTCTTTCCCATCAGCCCAAGTTCCTGCAGCTCCTCCTTTGGTCCTTTTCTAAGGGGACTGGAGGGGGGCCAAGGAGGGGCAGAGAGTTGGGGAGACAATTTCCAATGTGACAAGGAGATAACCAGTACAAGAGAGGCTGTGGAAGCCTTGACTATTAGCCACTAGGGCAGTAGGAGCCAAGATTCTTTAGGGATTAAGAGAGATAGGTGCAGGTTACACTTACTGCTGGTTATTCTTCTGTATGTTGATTAAAACATCCATCTTCTCATCCATATCTTTCTGCATTTCCTTTAAGAGAAAATTCAAAACTAGAGTCTCCACTTTGAAGGGCTTTTGAAGTCCCTTTCTCCCACCTCTCTCTGCATTTTGCTTCCTCAAGAATTGTCACTAGACTTGGGTGAGGTGGCAGATGGGGTGGCCTGTGCTACTCCTCCCTTTCCCCTCCTCACTCTGTGAAAAGACAGAAGCACAGGTGGAGTCATTAGGAGACTTTTCCAAAGTCTCCAAATGAGTCCCAGCCCCTGAACTGTATTAACTGATCTCACAGTTTGGATGAAACCAATATCTACCTTAGTTTGATGCCTATAAAATGATAGAACCAAGAAAACAAGTCGTGGGACCCCAAAGCTACTTCACTATTTGGAGCCCCTGCCATGCCCCCAGATCCTGTGTATTTGTGTTTGCTTCATCAACACAAAATATGAGTGACAGCAGCTAAAGTGACACATCACATTTATTTTCTACTAAGAGCAGAAAGAATAATACTCTTGGCAAAGTTTTAAATTTGACCTGGGAAAATTGGATAGAAATAGAAGACATGAAAAAAGTTCAACGGCAGAAGCTTTAGTTGACAGTATTTCTTATGAACAAAGAACAGGTTTGGGTTGATCATCATAAAATATGTGTGACAATAATTTACTCCAATGAAAATAATTTTAATAGAAAAATGAAAGATTTAATAACAGTTGGATTGATTTACTATGGAAAATTGATCACAGTATTATGCTGTCTGGGTAGAAATTATCTCAGAAAACACCTTCTGAAAAAGCATTTTGAAATGTTAGTTATTGTGAATAAAATATTTGTATTTATAGAGTCACATATCCTTGAAGTCCACACCCCATCAGCCCACCACATCAGAGTCCAGATGTCCTCTGATCTTCCACATCTCCCCAGCGCTTCAAACTCATCATGCTCTTCTCCCTCCTGAGTTAGTTCTGTCTCCCCCCTATCCTTGTCATTGTCACTGCTTGCTTCTAATCACCCAGATTAAAACTCTGGCATCATCACAGTGGCTTACCTCCCGGGACTTCATTCTCTATATCGAATCAGTCACCAGGAACTATGATTTTTCCTTCAATGTGTCTTTCAGATTTACCCATTTCCTATCCCTACACCTGGTCCAGCTCGCCTCACCTTGAGCTGGAATGCTGTTCCTATCTGGTGTTCTTGCTGCCAGACATCTGCACCTACTACCCCGTCCCCCACCCAGGCCATCTTGCAAACACCTGCCGCCTAAGCTTCCGGAAATGCTGCTCCCAGCATGTTCTTTGATTGAGTATCCCCAGAGGCCTCTTGCTGCTTATAGCACCAAGTCGAGGCTTGCCTGTGTGTCTTTCAAAAGCCTTCCTTATCCTCTGCCTTCGTGCCCATGCAATTTTCTTTCTCCCAGTTTCCTCAGATGGTTGCACTTCAGGACTGATCTCCCCACAGGCCCTAATATACAACCGGTTCCTCCTGCTTCCTGCTGTGCTCAAGCTGTTTCCTCGCCTGAAATAGCCTCCTTTGTGCCTTGCCCTACCCACCAACAAAACACTGTGTTTGCATTTTAATATGGAAATAATTAATGCAGGCCCTTTGTAGAAAACTTGGACAATACATAGTGACATCAACAAAATGAAATTTCTCAACTGGAAATACTTGCCATTAATCCCTTTGGTATATCTCTTTCCAGTCTTTTTTCTATATATTTACTAACCCAATTTTTTTTAACCTAGGTGAGATCAGCCTGTATATATTTCTTGTATCTTGCTTTATTAGTTCTTGTTATAAACATTTTTTCTAAATATTATCTTTAATAGTTCCTAATTTTCATTATACAGATATACTGTAATTCATTTGGCTATCTCCCTACTGTTGAAAATTGCCATTGTTTCCGAATTCATGTTACTGTAAATAATTCTGTTATGAACATATTTTTATATATATACTCATCTGGTATTTCTCATAGGTTAAATTCTGAGACGTGAACTTGATAAATTAAGAGGGTTATAATTTTATGTGTATTGTCTAACAATGTTCCAGTTCTATACAGTTTTATAAAAATGTTCCAGTTTGGTCAGCGGTGTTAAGAACATTCCTGTCTTATTCTCTAATGTTCCTAAGATAAAATTTTACGTATTTGAATACAAAAATTATTTATTGTTTATTTGGAAGTATTTGACTATTTGTGAGGCAAAACATGTTTTATTCTCTTCTGTGGATTGATCGTTCACGCTCTTTTGAATTTTCATATTTGGTTTTTATTGATTTGGATGAGTTTATATGTTATAGATAAACACCTTTTCTCTATGCTTATCATATTTTCAGAAAATTGCTTTCCACAAACTTTTGTTTTTTCAGTCTGCAAGTGGTGCTTTCTGCCCTGATTCTTTTTAAAAATCTCACATAGTTAAATAGATCAGTATTTCCTTCCCTTGTATTTATATCTACAACAGCCAGTTAAATTGTTACTTAAAATTTCCTCTTACTAGTTTATATTATTTAAGTTCTTTTTATAGTCTATTTCAGTTTATAGTGTTGACTGGATTATGTTACTTCAAGCAATGTTCTTAATATTATTACATAATCCTCTCCTCACTGACATCAACAAGTCACCTGCATCATATTTTAAATGTTATAGAGCTGTGGTTCTCAGCCTTGAGTTTACCTTGGAATCACCTGGTAAGCTTTAAAAACCACCAGTGCCTGGAGCTCATCCCAGGAGGTTCTGGTTATATTGTTGCAGGGCACAGCCTGGGTGTCGGGGGGGGAGGGAGGGGAGTCCAAGCTCCCCCAGGAAATTCTAATGTACAGTCAAGGTCAATAACTGCTACTGAAGGGTTTAGGACTTGGTTTTCACCCAGGGCCACGCATCAGCATCACTTACGGTTTTGAACAAGTCTGCTCCACCCTGGAGATTTTTACTCAGTTCTTCTGGACTGGGGTCCTAGGTAAATGGATGTTTAAAATCCTCTCAAATAATTCTTTGTATATCCCTGGCAGAGAGGCTGTTACAGAGTTAGCCATTTTATTCATCTGGTTATCAGTGGGCTGTGTCACCCTGATTTGGTAATTGTGTTTGTATCATGAATTGTGATATCTGATAAGGTGAGAGCCCCCTTACAACTCTTGAAAATGTGTAGATATTTGCTTTTAGCTATTTAGGCTTCTACATCAATAGCTCTCAAACTATCACGGGCCTGAAAATGACTCCGGGCTCTGTCTTCTTTATTAGTGTTCCAGGTGAGCCACTGGTCTAGAATCTAAACTGTCCTCCTAATGATTTATTTTTTTGAATTTAAAAAGAATCTTATTACATTTTGGGCTTTTCATCAGACTTACATTAAGCAAAGGCAGTCTTCAAAGCTCAACTTAAGGCTAATTTTCTAAGGACTTTCCTGGTTATTCCAGCCCACACGGATTACTCATGTCTCTAAACGCCTAATTAACCAGCAGCCAATTATTTAGCTTGCAATTCTTTCCTGCAATGGAGTTTGGATCTACTACCAGATTATAAGCACCTGGAGGGCAGGGGCTGGCATCTCGTCCACAGTTTCCAGCACGGTACTGGCCCCTGGAAGGCACTCAGTAATGCTTACCTTCATAATTTCCACGAATTCATGAAGCTTGTCAAAATCCCTGTCCATTATAGTCTTTATCTAGTGAAAACGAAAGGCACAGCTGGATAATTGTGTGTTTATCAAAACACATTATATGTCAACTACAGTGTCTTTGGGGACATTTAAGCAAAAGACAGTGTCTGCTCCTCTGGCATGACTAACCATGGCCTGTTGGAGCCACCGTTTCCCCAAGGGGTCTATGAAGGGACCGGGGTACATGTGCCATCACGTCACCCCATCACCAGCCTCGGCACAACTCAGAACTGGCTACCGCCAGGCTTGCATGTGGACCTCAGACCACAACTTCTGTTATCCCTTCTTGCTGGATTAAGCCCTTTCCCTGAGTTTGCTCAGGTGGCTGTAGCACAGAAACAAGAAGAGTTTCTGTTTCATTCAGAAACACTCAGGGGGAATGAATGAGGAGGATGGAATTGAACCCTGACGACCCCAAATTCCAAGTCCGCCCCTCTCGTTCAGCTTTATCACTAAGGTTACCTCAGCCCAACCTTATCAGTGAGATGCCTCCCAGAGTCCCGAGTCTCTCAAAAATAGAATTTAGGCATCAAACAAGTAAGAAATGAATATCCTAAATTGCCCAGCCCTTAGCACTCATGAGATTAGGACGGAATTGGTTGGATTATTTTTTCCATGCAATTCCTGATTTCCTCCATTGTTAAGAACTATATTTTTCTTGAAACTAAACTTTCCTTTGGTGGGGGGGGGGGGGGTTGGGCACACCTTTCATGTGTAAGACATAACCACAAGAGGGACTCTACCTAACAAAACCAAATATTTTGACCAGGTTGTTTGTACCCGCACATTAACCTGAAATAAATTTACTTCAAAAATAAATAATTAAAAATATAAAGAAAGCTTATAAAGAAAAAAACAAACAAACTATAGTGTCCCCCCCCCCCCAAGGCCTCGTCTTGTTACCTGTTTTATCTCCTCCATTTTTTCCTGGAGCTCTTCCCTCACCTCCCTAAGTTCATTCTGAGAAATAAAATGGGGAAGAGGAGGAATAAGAAACTGATCTTGGGTGGAAGATAGGAAACCAGCCACAGAGGAAAGGAAAGATCCTGGGACAGATTCAAAAGAGGAAAGAGTGAGACTTCCACCAGGGAGGAGAGAAAGGCTGCTGTGAAGGGGGGACCCCGGGGCAATCTGTGCCCCCACCCCTGAAAAGGCCACACGGTCCCTTCCCGGACACTCTGAAACTAATCACAAGGGAGCAAACCTAAATTAAGGGTAATTCTTTTTTTTTTTTTGAGTCAGAGTCTCACTGTATCACTCTGCATAGAGTGCTGTGGTGTTACAGCTCATAGTAACCTCCAACTCTTGGGCTTAAGTGAGTCTCTTGCCTCAGCCTCCAGGTAGCTGTGACTACAGGCACCCACCACAACGCCCGGCTATTTTTTGGTTGCAGTGGTCATTGTTGTTTAGCAGGCCTGGGCTGGGTTCAAACCCACCAGCCTTGGTGTATGTGGCCGGTGCCCTACGCACTGAGCTGTGGGAACCGCCAATTAAGGGTAATTCTACAAAATAAATATTCCAAATTAAGGGTCATTCTACCAAAAAAATGTCGATGTCCCAAAACAAAAAGGTTGAAGAACTGCTTCAGATGAGGAGAGTAAAGAGACATGGCAATTAGGGGCACCATGTGATCCTAGATTCTCTCCTGGCTCAAAAAAGGGTTTTATTTTGCAGGTTTTTTTGGCCGGGGATGGGGTTGAACTTGCCACCTCCAGCATATGGGGCCATGGTCCTACTCCTTTGAGCCACAGGCGCCACCCAAAAGGGTTTTATTTTGTTTTGAAATACATTAGTGAGGCAGTTGATGACATTAGAATGATTTCAGGCCACAGATTGGTGTATCTACATTCATTTCCTGATTTTGGTAATTGTACTGTGGATGTGTAAGAGAATTTTCTCGTTTCTAGGAAAGAAGCAAGATCTGGGGGCAACTTACTCTAAACTGGCTGAGAATCTGTCTGAGCTGTCTGGGTCCCCACGCTCACCTTTAGTTCCCGTGTCACTCCTGTTTTGGTGGGCAGCCCTTCTTGTTTAACTCCTTTGTAGGTACATGTCTGTTGATTAAAAAGAAGCACAGAATGTCGGGAATTGTAGGTGTGGGCTGGAATGGCAGAGGCGGGAGAGCTCACCCCGAGTTTCTGCTCCTCCCATAGGGCCAGGGCAGAGGGGAAAGCTGGCGACCACGCTGGTCAGAAGGTTCCTCCATCCTTCTCCTTCCTTCTTGGTTCGTCTCCTTCTACTCCCTTCCTGGCCTGCTGGGCCTCAGCCCTGTCTGTCCTTGACCAGCCACCAAGCTCATTCCCACCTTGGGCCTCTGTGTCAACTCCTTTCTCTGACTAGAAAGTTCCCCCTCGATCTTTGAGTGGCCAGAGTCTTGTTCTTCACCTGCCAGCTCAAAGGAAGAGGCCTTTCCTGACTACCCCCAGTGGCCACCCAGTCACGTCTCTCCCTCTTAATTTCCTGCAGAGCAGATAACACTACTGATTTGTTTTTTTTTTTTTTGTTATTGTTGTTGTTCATTTATGTATCTAACTGGTTACTAGTGTGAAGTTCTATGGCAGCAAAGAGTTCCTCTCTCTGTGTATCCCCCAGCACCTGGGACAGGTCTTGGCTGCCAGAAATAGCGATTGACCCCTGACTCCAGATCACCTCCCCACGGATCTCAGGCCTGGCTGGTGGCATGGCCTCAAAAACGCTTCTTAATATGGTCGGCTCTGGCTTCAATTCCAAGCAAATTGCCTTGTAGGTCTCGCTCTGCAGAAAGAGGAGGCTGGGATTCAGCCTGTCAGGGGGCAGGGTTGGGGGAGGATAACATTTGGCCCTGGCAAGGGGAGCCCCCCACCCGCCCCATCCCGACCTGCCTGTCCTACTGAGCTTGTGCTCAGGCCCACAGCCCCCCGCCCTGGCACGCAGTTCTGATTCCTGACAACTCAAATCTTGCCATGTCATCCTCTTCTCAGGAACACATGCCTGCCCTGCCCTCAGCAGGCAGCCCTCTCGCTGCCAGAGGGGCCTGAGTGGAGAAAGCGCTTTAAGAGAATTGGAAGCAGCAGCAGCGTCAGGGGCCTGGGTTTGGGGGACGGACAGACTCCAGTCCTACTCTCAGCTGACCTCGTTACCAGCTCTGCCAGTTCGAGCAAGTTAATTAGTCTCTCTGAGCCACCATTTCCTCATCTGTAAAATGGAGGGCATGATTATATTTATCCAATAAGATTATCTGAGCCTTAGACCTGCCAGTTAGACGCAGGCCTGGTGTGGATCACGGAAGTTAGCAGGGAGGGGGGACTGCAGTGCTCCTTGTCCCCGCAGAGTCGGCAGAGGCCTCCTTCCTTCTCACAGCCAGACCACGGATCAACCTCACGCCCATTCCAGGCTGAGAGGCCACTTTATGCTCCAAACAGAGAAAGAAAAGCCCAAGATTCAATGGCGCAGTCTCCAAGCCCCCCACCCCGCCCCACCCCCCAGGTCATTCAGTAGGCGCTCAGAGAGGCCCCAGCAAGGTTTCTCCTTTACCAGGTTTGCTTTCTTCGGTTCTGCCCTCTTGGCCGACATGATGGAAGAGGCCAGAGTGTTCTTCAACTTCCCAACCTCCCCACTACAGCCCCTGGGCCAGGCCACTGTCCTATTCAACTTACAGGCCAAGGTCAGGGTTAGATGACCACCTCTGTGTGTGTGGAACAGCTGAGGTCACAATGCCCAGACCCACATGCTGGCCCGGAGTGTCAGCACAGTTTCAGGCCTGGGTGCTTCGGCCACTGAGATGAGGGGCTTGGGCCAGGTTCCAACGTAGCCAGTCTCTTTCCTGCACGGTGGGGACACGGGCTGTCCTAGAAAGTCCACACTGGTGAGGACCCCGGGCTGTGATGGCTGAAGCACGAGGCACGAGGCAGGAGAAGCGATAGTTCCTGGCACCGCAGGGCTAAGCTCTGGACTAGGAGGAACGCCTGCCTTGACAGCGGGCTTCTCTCTCAGTCCGCACTCTATTTCCTGGGCTGTGCACTCCTAAAGTGAATGGACTCTCCCTCGGACCTGAGGCTGCCTTGGGGTGGGGTGCCCTGAAGTCTCTCTGGTTCAATGGGCAGGTACGTCTCAACCCAGGGTTCTCTGTCCTGTATTTTGGGGGGAGAAGGTCAACAGTCTCGGCAGGATAATTCCTGATGCTCTGGCCTCCTGCTGCCTTGTCCCCCCACAACCCTAATCTCCTTTCGTGGTTCTTCTATTACCTTGGAAGAGGGTTGGGGTGAGAAGCAATATGTGAACAGTGCTAAAGGTCAGGAGCCTTTGCAGAGGAAAAAAGAATAATAAAGAAAGGTCATTCTGAGCACAGCCATAATTTGTGGTTAAAGCTGAAGAATCAAAGGAACACAGCATCCCATGGGACCAAAAATCATTTCAAATCCAGGTGAGCCTGGTTTCTCTTTTCTCTTCCCTCTGGGCATTCCATTTCCTTCTTCCCTCTCATTGCAAATACTAGCTTACTAGTTGCCAAAGAAAAGGCCAACTTGGACGTTCTGAGGACAGACAGCACTTAAGTACAGGAACCGATGGCAACTGCGTGTGAATTACGTGCCACACCTGCAGTTCCCTGGCAGCTCACCCTCCCGTTTCATGCACCTGTGTGGGCCTGTCCTCCTCAGAGGCCACTGAAACTTCCTCCGGAGCCTCTTGCAGCATTTCTGATACATTTCCTAGGTGGCAGTTTCCCAAGCTAGTGACAGCCATGGATCTAATTCTATCGCAACCAAAGGAGAATGTGTCTGTCTCCATGTACAGCTGAATAGAAGTAGGGAAGAGGGACGGTGTTGAGCTTCCCAGACCCCACACTCCCCACTTGCAAGTGAAGGGGTGGGGCTTTAAGTTTCTTTCCACCACCCAGCTCAGTCCTCCCAGATCTGCTAGCTGCATGGTGGAAAGACCAACACCTTTGACAGGGCTGAAGGAACTACAGTGAAAACGACCAACTTCATCTCAACCTTTACCAGCCCTGCGAAATGGACACCATCTCCTTCCTCCTGCTTAGGCTGAAAGCCTCAAGGACCCGCAAACTTCCCTTTGTGCAGCTTAGCAGTTGCTTAGAGAGCCACCTCTTGGTGAGCATAGCATGTGAGCTCACTGGTCTATAAATTAGGAAAGTGAGTCTAAAAGAAATCAAGGTCTCATGGTGAAATAGCATTATAAATTTTAAAAAATTACACACAGGCCTGTAGCTCAAGCACCTAGGGCGCCAGCCACTACACTGGAGGTGGCAGGTTCAAGCCCAGCCTGGCCTGCCAAAGACCAATGACAACTACAGCCAAAAAATAGCTGGGCAATGTGGTGGGCGCCTGTAGTTCCAGCTACTTGGGAGGCTGAGACAGGAGAATTGCTTAAGCCCAAAGAGTTTGAGGTTGCCTGAGCTGTGATGCCATGGCACTCTACAGAGGGCGACAGTGTGAGACTCTGTCTCAAAAAAAAAAAAAAAATTACGCATATATATGGGATTATCCTTTGGAGAGAAATTTAACAATAGACCCGTAGCTCTGGGCTTGTGCCTTCTCACAGAATTTGCTGTTCCTATTCTCAAATTCTGTCTCTTGTGGTTGTCATCAATACACTCTAGAAGGGCTGGGGAAGAGCTTTTAGTGAATCTGAATGATGGGTCTCCCATGCTTTCCTTTGCTAAAAGCATTTTGTGAATGCCTGAGGTAGTTTGCATCATCACTGTAATATCAGATATTGCTATGGTGTGGTCATGTCCTGTGTGAGCCATGGGGCACTCTTACCTGAAGAATGCCAGGGACACCTTTCCTAATCCCTGTTCATGGAAAAGCCCATTCGTACCCGGAGCAGGAGCAGGACAAGGAGCACAAGGCCAACTGAGGGTCCATCGGAGTCTGGGGGGACAGGAGTATTCAGAACAGACAGAAAGAAGAAACTACCTCTCTTTGGTTGAAATTGATGTCATTGATGTCCTGGTTTGTTCAGTTTCATGATGACAATACTGTGTGGGGAGGCTGGTGGAGGAAGTTAAAAATTAGCCTCAGGCCTCTGAGTTTGGCTTTTGTGATTCCTGGTCCAGCCCCCTATGAAGACCAGGCCCAGCTGCTAGCCCTGAGGGGAGGCGTCCCAGAGAGCAGGAAGAGAATGTCCACCCCTGCAGTTAGAAGCCGATTTAATCACCAAGGTCCAGTGTTCTAAAGCCCTTTGATCAGGGTGGAATGTTTCATCAAGGTGCCAGAATCTCCACGGCTGTGCTCTCCAGTCAAGCTTGGACATGGTTCAACATAGGTGACATAGATGACTTGCTCTCAGGAAAGTGTGGCCACACACACTGGGTGGCTGCACAGAGCCAGAGAGTCACTCTGGTTCCTAAGCCCCAAGAGAACCTCTTATATAATCTTTTTAGAGATCTCATACGTCTGTTTACTACACTGTCCTACTTGACTGATTAGTAGACACCTTGGAAAACGTTACTCTGTGCAGGGTACAGATATTTTTTATCATCGATGCATTGATCAACCAGGCAATTTCTGATCATTTCTGTAATAGTGGATCTGACCTTGGCTAGAATCACAATCCTATTCTGTTTCTTTGGAAAAGTTACATCTAGCTTGTATCATATACACTGTTTGTACCTCTGTTTCAGGAACAAAATGTAACATTCCAAACAGATAATTGTAAGTCATTAGCTGAAACAGCTAAGGACAAGTGAAAGCACAAGTGTGCAGGGATTGCTGGCTTTTCTGTCCTGTACGGTTTACTGTGGCAGGGACACACTTGCCAGGGCCTCCCAGGATCCAGGGAACCTGGCACCATTCCCTGAGCAGGAGCAGCCCATTGTGTGAGCTAAATCAAGAGCCACCTGCCGTCTGAGGCTCTCCCTGCTGTCAGACACGATCTCTAGACCTCCTTACTAAGCAGGTGTCCCTCATTCTCTCTGGACCCAACCCATGTACAGTACGCAGCTCTACCACTCCTGCCTGTCTCGGCTCTGCAGTTGTGATCCTGGTCCCTAAAGCTTTGCTCTCCACTGGACATCTTCAAATTTCCATTTATTACAGAAATAATAAAATCCAGTGGCACAATAAAATCCCTCTTAGGACTGGCTTTGTCAGGGGACTGTGCTTCATCCAGCGTCCACAGAGGATCTCGGCTGAGAGGACTCCCTGGGTTGATCCTAGGAACACCCCTCCTCACTCCCCTCCCACTCCTTTGGCTGGAATGCAACCGCAGGGCCACATCTGGAGCAAAGGGCTGGGATATGTGGCCAGGTTTCTTCCAAGAAGAAGAGGAAAGAGGGTTAAGGAGCAGGCAGCCAATCTTTGTCGTTTTCCTAACTCATTTCATTTTTCTGATTTAACTCTAGCAAGTCCCCTCAAAGGAAACTGATTTAGGATTTTTCTGCTTTTAGTGTAAGAGAGAGGTAAAAGTAGTTCATAAGGTCAGAAAGGGAAACTAGCAGTTGGGAGCAGTGGCACCTGACTGTCTGCCCAGATACTTGGGAGCAGAGGTGGGATCGCGTGAAGCCAGGAGTTTGTGTCTAGCTTGGGCAACATGGCGAGACTCCATCTCATTAAAAAGAGGAATCTTAGACCAGACACTTGAACTAGGATTAAATCTAGCAAATATGAATGGGAGATTTAGGGTTAGGGTTAGGGACCCACTTCTGTTTCACTTGAATGGCCAGTAGGCGGAGACATTGAGACAGATTATAATAATGATCTTACTTGCCTGGGGCTTTATGGTATAATAGCTCCAGTCTATCTCAGTCCCATTCCACAGAAGGCCTTGCTAACCTCCTTCCCCATCACAAGCTCAGCCCCTCCTACAGGCAACACAATGTGAGTCTGGTTTGAAGTTTCTTTTGCTGTTCCAAGTCCTCTGGATGGCCCTGGGGCCCAACCAAGTTGTCTTAACTTTGCCAGTCCCTTCCTGGAGTTTGAGCCCTACTACTGTCATCTTGGCTGAGAATCCATAACCTGCTTCAGATTAACCTTTGCGTCTAGATCTGTGAAGCTACCTGAACTTGGCCATTGCTTGAAGACACCTATCACTGGGTCCCCACCCACCAGACATGGGTGACAACTGAGATCCAATCAAAGTTTGTCAGAACTTGGAGATAGGCCTGGTATGGTGGCTCATGCCTGTAATTCTAGCACTCTGGGAGGCCGAGGCAGGTGG